GAATGAGTTTCTTATTAGCTTTTACTATTCCTTCTCTTTTCTTCTGTTAAAACTTTAATTTATATAAACTCAGTTAAAGGGATAGCTTTTGGGAGAGAGTGCTGACCGTTTGAATGCTATTTTCTTCCAATTTCAAATTTATTTGATCTTAGATTTAGCTTAGTATGCGTGATTTGACAGCCTGAGCTAAAATTTGGAGGTCATTTTTGACTCGTCAATTTCTTATTGTATATAATTAACTGTTTTTTTATTCCATTATCTACAGGAGACTTACACAGGTTGAGTAAATTGTTAGCCGAAGAGCTAACTTAAATACTCTTTTTAAATCTTTCTCTATGCTTTGCGTTACTTCACCGAAAGAATAAGAAGAGCGACTGTTTTCGTGGAGCCAGAGTTGGCAGTTAAAATAGATAGACTTTGTACAAGGTACGTGTGCGTTTCATCTTCTATCACATGATTGCAAAAATATGCCTTTATTAGCTTTAAAATCTTTCAGCAGATTAGAGCATATGACCGTAAACTTCTGCCTCACGTCGTCGAGGTACCAATTCTGCAACCACTTAATGAGAATCTTTCACCATGTTTCGTATTGTATTGTAAGTACACTTCACTTGGGTACAGAATTCACGAATTCTCTACACGAAGAATTTCTGTTATATGTTGAAAATTAGTATTTCTATTTGCAACTACTGAGTTCTTGCTCTGCATGTGGTTTCTTCCATGCCGGCTTTCTCTTACTTAAATGTCTCTATCCATTTGAGCTTACTACTATTATCCGGTATTTTTTCTATAAACATCATGTAGCTTTTTGTTTAGGTCAGAAGCTACCCAATCGGTGTAGCGGTTAGTGACATTGATTGCTCTACGGATGGGACCGCGGTGGAATCTCCGGGATGGCATAGATGTTTGTAAGCTTGAAATGAATATAATAGTTGGCAGGACAATGAAATTATTACATCCAAAATAAATTCATTTTAAATTACTTTATCGATATTTTCAATGTTATATAATTATACGAAATAATTTTGAAAATTATATCAATTGAAAATATATCCCTGAGGTGTTAGCATAATATTCTACAAAGTTATACCGTTTATATTGGCTATAACCTGTTCAGATGAGAACATATTATAGATGTTTTTGCAAACATCTCCAAATTTCAACTGTCAATAAAAGACAATAAAAGCATCTTAATGAGCTTTTGCTGAGTTTTATTTGATCAGATATTACTAGACACATAACATGCTTCTAAAGAAAGCTTCAGCTAGCAACTTTAAAGGTTACGTTTTCGTCTGCGAGCAGTGAAAAAATATTGTGATCCATACTATTAATACTTTCGCAATCTACACGTGAGTGTTATATCAGTTGAAATGCCGCAAATATATCCGAAATAGCGCATGACGAGTTAAAAATTATGTTGGTATAGCAGTGGAAATTTTTATTTACTTGTGGAAAAATACAATATCTTCTAGCCTCGTCGCTCATCTGCTGCTTCTGCCACTTCTCTAAAAGTTTTGCATTCGTCCTAAATAACAGCAAACTAATACTAATCTCTCTTTTCAGAAGATATTTTAAGTGGCATCTTGTAATGTATATGTATATTTAATTAAAAGGTTATGATTATTATGCCTCTGAAAACTACAGTTTGAGAAATAATTAAAGGCTATCTTACTTATACACCTCTTTAGATTGTTCCCATCGGAGTCGTGTAAGTGAGTCTAAATTAATCTTCCGCACTTCGAAGAATACAGCTTCAAAGATTATATATATTCTTTATCGTTTTGCCCTAAGACAACGCAAATTGTTTTTTCGACACCATTTTCGTAATTAAATGTTTTTATTCTTCGTCTAATAATTATATGCTATTTATTGTAGATGCATTCTAATTAATAGCATTTTCTCTTATAAGTTGGCAGAAATTTTATTTTCTTGCAAATTTCCATGTGCGTCCATATATGTCATTACCCATATACTTTTACTGCTGTTGAGCGCATGTAGCATGTAAAAAGAAAATGGAGCTTTCATTCAAATAAAGTAACAAAACAAAGAATTCTAAGAGACACGGTGTTGCAAGATAACAAATCTCAAATTCTTTTCTGTGATAGAAACAAAAAATTAAGATTTTCCACATGAAAAATAATGAATACGGTGTTTAAATAGATAGTGATCAAAGTGTTACTAGTTCCGATTTATAATAGTCTTCATTTCATTTGAAATAAACCGAAGTCTTTAATTTTTTATGTAACTGAGAAAGTTATAATAGTGATTATTAGAAGGTTAAACTAAAATCGTAAGTTCTACAATGAGTTCCCATTAAAGGAAGGAAGGCCATGATGTTTGATATCTTCTTATTTGAATACCTCAGATCAATGGTTCCGAACTGGAGACCCATGGGCCGCAAGAGCCCTTCCAAGAAATTTTACGAGGCCCACAAAGACATTTGAGTTATGTATTTGTTGCAAATATGTTATTGTAAATATTTTAAGATTTTAGTTATTTGAAGTCAGAGTTTACGTTATAATCCATTAAAATGTACAAGAACAAAGCGCCAAAAAATCTATAAATGGAACTAATTAATTTATAATGTGATGTAAGTCTTATTCCAAAATTTGGAGACACAGATTTCATTAAATTTTATTCATAGTGTTCAGAAAATAAATAAATGCTAGTAAATGTTTGCAGTACAAGTAGTCGCTTTGTTTTGAAACACATTTATATGTGAACAGCGTTTATTCACATTTGAAAATTAATAAAAAAATAGATTCCTTGATAAGCATCTAGAGTCTTTGATGAAGATAATTTATAGTAATTTCTATCCAAGGCTACAAAATATATCAGAATCAGAAGGCCAACTAACGTTAAGCGATAGTAAGAAATAAAGACGTTTACAATGATTTAAATGCATACATAAGACTTATTAAGCATTCTTATTTATGCTTCGAAGAACATTTTAATGAATAAAAGAAATATATTAGGTTGCTAATATTCATTCTCCAGGTTTTTTCCCACTTGGTAAATTTTCTCTGATTTTCATAATTTGCTTATTTTTAGCTTAAATTAAAGTAAGTTATTTAGTGAATAATTAACTATGTTCTGTCAATGTAGTTGCATTACAAAGTATAACCAACAAATTTCATACTTTAAATTTCAGATAAAAAAATAGAAATTTTTTCCTCTTCGGGATATTATTATTATTATTGTTTATGTATATTTTAAAAACATTTAATAAGCGAAATTTAAAACTTATTTGAAATATTTTTTTTTCCTTAAAAAATTTTCATTTTATTTTCGGCTTGCATGAAGTATAGATTTGAGACCATTGCCTTAGATTTTGATGCAGAAGTATATAGGTAAATAATTCAATGTACTTATACACCTTTTTTATAGTTTTGTATGTGTAAATAATTTTTATTATGCATACTTCCTTTACGTTTGCAGAACTTCTGCTCCGAGATATATCTGGTATGTGACATATGTCAAAGAGTCAATCAAATAATGAATAACGAACGCTTTGCTGTTAGTAAAACTGCAATTAATTGCCACAATGTCATTGATATAGTTGGGCGTTCTCCTAAATGCGCTATCGTCTAACATTTTTTGCATCTGAGGTACTCTTACCACGTCAGTAACGGATGCATTCTTTGATTTACTGTAATCAAACCCAAGCAACTAAAACATCCCTCATGCCTTCCAAACTTTTTACGGCACCTTTTTCTAAATCAGATAACTATTCATAGCGCTCTCTAACATTTCTGAAGAAAAATTGCAGTGTCAAAGTAGAAAACAAGTTTAGATTGCCCGATTGCTGCACGATGCACACACGATGTTCTTCGTGCTCATCAAATGAATCCTATATCATTACTACTAATGAAACTTTAATTATTTGCTTAACTATTCAAACGACATTTGCTTGTTGAGTTTTGCAGTTGTAGTTCAGTTTTTATGGGTTCATATTCATGTTTCTGGTATATACACGCATTTTTTAACACGTTATTTTTATGAATTCTGAATGCTGAATAATACTCTCCATAACAAATAAAATTAAAAAAACGGAAACCTCTTAAACTGAGCAATTTATTTATCAGTTATGGAAAATTTATGAATTTTTAAAAATTAAAAAGAAAAAGTCGAAGTATTCAAGGCTTTTTTAGATGTAAAGTGATATTCAAGTAAATTCAAATATAAAGAAAATGAGTTACAAAATCCTCAGAAATAAAACATAAGGTAAATAAATAAAATTTGTTTACGAGATAATCTTATACTGAACTATACTGAGTCATACCTTTTTTTGCAAAATAACAATCAGAGATCATGTAATATAAATTTTTGTATTTATAATAACGCATTATTGTTGTACATGATAGTATGCTATTATTATATACAATTATAAAGTATTTTATGTTAATTTATCAATTATTATGATTTAAAACGTAACTATAACTTCTCCTTTACGTAGTCTTTACCAGAATGCAAATTAGTTGTTTGTATAAAGCTGAAGGTTTGAAAATTAGAGATTCTGTTAGTCTTGTTTTTCTGTTATTTACTATCTCCAGTACTGCGCAAGTTGTATTTGGCTTGAATGTCTTCGCCCGACGATTTTGAAACCTTAAATATCTGAGGTGACGTTAGCGGACATTCTAGCCGCCTTTAAATATCTGAGCCAGTCTTAATTTGATTATTCTGTGTTGTAGTCTCTGACTAAGTTAATTACATCTGAAATTTACCTTTCTGTTACATTAATTAAAATACCCGCAAGTAGCGGAAGTTCATCTGTCGCAAAAGCTGTGCATTTCGGGTCAATTACGACTTAAATAAAAATCTTATGTTAACATTCCTTAGGTTTAGTGATTTGTTTGAGATTAAGCGATGAATCGCTTTTACTGTACTGTGGTTTGTAGCACATTAACACAAGCTTCTAAGTACAGCAGAACCTTGCACAATAATAGTATGTTAAATAACTTACATAAATACTTTAAAGATAATAAAGACTCAGTACCATATTTCACAGGCACAAAAAATAAAATTTTTATTACAGATAAAAGTATATAATGCTTACAACAAATAAAAGCTAGTTATATATAGGACAGGTTTAAAATAATACTTGAAACACAAATCGTAATCATGATTTTCAGGTGATATCTTGTGCACACATCAAAGTGAAAGTTTTTTAAGAAATGACTTTATTATTTGTCTTTCAGATTCCAAGAAAATACTTGGCATAAATTAATAATAGTAAAATTTCGAGTGATTAATTAAACATTGCATTGCAACATAGAATTTTCAAATGATCACTTGGGATACATATCGACATGCATACTTCTCAACGGAATGGAACCTGGTGCATGCTTAACCGAACACGAAGACAGTACAAGTGTTGTCGTTCGAAATGAGCTGTGGTCAATGTGGTTCTTCAGACGTCTACCCCTTGGATGTGGGCGGCCTGAGCAGCAACAGCAAAATATCAGTTGTTTCAAATCTGCCTGTAAAGAGATAAATTAAATTTAATAAATTCAAGTCTTTAATAAATTCATGATGAATATTTGACTTTAATAAATCTACACTTTGGCATTTAGATTATCCAGGTGTTTTAAACAAAGGAGTATCTGAATCCTCGACGGTGATTCTAGAAAACAAACGAAATTAAAACATCCGAATCTTCTTTGTGATTTTTTAGTTTCTCTCTTTCGAATATTTACATAAGATAGCGCTAAAAAGTTTACATTCCAATTCCTTGTGCTAGATGAGGGATTCCCAACCTTTTCCTTACATCGACCCCCTCTCAAAAGAACAGATTTCTTCATCGACCAATTTACATTCTTCTTTATAATGTAAAGCATACAACATAATTGTAACGCCGACAGACAGTTAGCTTGTAGTGTTCTTGTCTAAATATGAATAATCGCACTGATGATGTAATTGCCATTTCAGATTAATTTCTGTTTACAAGTTTCAATGTCCGGCAATGCTGGAAGAATAGCGCAGATTTTATTGCGATTCTTTAGTTTTTCTTTCTTGGTATTTTTTGATAGTGTTTTCTTGTGTTCCTCAGTTTTACCTTTTTACAGTGTACTTATTGCTTAAAATACTATTTGTTTTAAAACAAACCTTTTGATTTGTATCATATATTAAATAATTTTTTTGGATTTTTCCCTTAAATTTATTTCCTTATATTCTGTGATTTCTTCTATACAATATGATGTAGCTTTATATCAGTAAACAATTATATATCTTGTTTTCAATTTTGTTTCAGTTTTAATAAATAATTTTTAGTCAATAAGATCTTGGTTATGTGGATCAGTTGCCAGTACAGATTCGGCAACCACTCCCTTTGTCATCAACGACGCCCTGGGGTTCTATACCCTCCTAGTTAGGAATCCATGATCTAGATCAGATGGTAAACAATATATCCTGCAAATCTCACTTAAACATGGCAAGAAAAATTGAATTTTTTTAACAGGGCAGATGCATCTTTAATTATCTACAAACAGCTGAACTTATAAGATCTTATTTTCTTAACTATCATGCAATATGTCTAGATCTCAAAGTTCATTGTGGCGAATTCTTGCACAGGCGTCAAGATGAATAAAACAAGAAAAGGGTGTAAAAAGCCCTTTTTATTTATCTCAACTCTATAACAGAAAGGCACTGTCTTACAAAAACACCTACTACTTGCAGAGAGAACTTGAAGATAATCTAACAATAAATTCAAAAGTTAAGAAGTAGTGCTAAACTACACAATTTAATATAACCTAAAAGGCTGATTCAGCAATTTACACTGACGATAGACAAACTAAAAAGCCAGTATAGGTAGCCGCTGCTACGATTAATTTAGTTTGAGGACAAAACAACAAACGTTCGCTACAGTAACGAAATTTTCGTTTCACCAGTTAAAATACTCTAATTCATCTACTTAATTTGCACATTACAAAAAAGATACCAAAATTAAAATAACTGGTTAGTGCACCAAGGGGAACCCTAAAATCTAAATCGCAAATTTTAGTTTTCCCAGTTATCAAGATATATAGCAGGACATGGGACAAGGTCCCTTGGCAAGATTTTACTGGCAAGATACTTCGCAAGATATTGGAGGAGACATATGATTTCCAGATCATTATAAAAGGGAAGGTCTCTTAACAAAACAATATAATATTAAATTCCTGAAGCTAATATAATTTCTTTCAAGGTATCCTTTATTAAACGAAGACGAGTTGTTCTAAAAACGTTTACGAATCTGGTTTCTAAAGTGAGACAGGACATTTTCCAACCTTCTTAAAAAGATGAGCATAATAGCGGCATAATTCTCTGTTGTCTTAAAGTTTCATTATTTTACATGTAAACTTACACATAGTAACTTATTTTTATGAGCATAAAGTCTTAATATCAACTATTATGAGCATATATTTTATGAGCATATAGTCTTAATATTCATAATATCAATAAGTTTTTTTGTATAATGTAGACACTTATAAAACTAAAGTGTCTGATCTAACTCTATGGACTTCATGAACTGTGGCCTTTATGAACTTTTATTTTTAATGCTATTGCATTTTATTGTAATTTTAACTTTTTGTTTTTACTTTTTGCTGTTAACCCTGTTATTCAAATTTATTGGATATGAACCTAATTCATCTGACTTAAATATCTATTGACGACATTCCATCTCATAATTACTCATGCTACATTTATGCTACTCATGCTACATTTTATGAATTAAAAAGGCAAATATATGTAATTATTACTAGTTTTGGAAATGGATTTGATTATTTTGTTAAGCATTACCTGTTTTTCTCTAAACACACCTTCAGGCATTGTTGATTTACGACAATAGGACTTTGGGAAACACACGTAGCAATTTTACTTGATTTAGAAGTGTTATGCGAAGGTTTAATACGAATAACAATGTTCTGCGTTAATAATGTTTAATCACGAGTTCAGAATATTCCTTTTATTTGATGCAAGATATGATTTTTATTCATAATAATAAATTCTTATTGATTGTTGACTATAGTATAAAAACTTTTTATTTTACGATTTCAGATTTTAATGAAATATACAGCTGAGACCCCTAATACACCTTTTTAAGGGAATGAGTTTCGATGCACCTTTGAAAAAATAAATATACGTTTTGTATGTGTTTCTTTCATAAAGTCACTTTTCATTATTTATTTACAAATTTCGATCTTTCTTTTTATTTCCTTTCAACTACTCAAGCATTTCCATGTAAGAGAAAGCTTGTTGAAAACATACTATAATCAGAATATTTTATCAGCCGAATCAAAGAAAGAAACAATAAATAATACTTTATTCCAACACATATTAAATTTTCGAATATATTAACTTTCTTGCACCTTGAATCCAGAAGTTTCATTTAAAATCCTATAATCTTATTAGCTAAATATCTTCTGATGATACCATTTATCAAAGAACAACACTACTGTAGCTCAGATGGGATAGTGGTTAGTGATACTAATTGCCCTACCGAACGGCCGGGGTTTGAATCCCGGAGATACCAAGGATGTTTCTAAATGTGTAGTATCTCTGTGGCATGGGATCATTCACAGTATACATCTAGCTGATATCCTCTCAAAAAGCTTGGTGGTAGGTGAAGACGGGTGGGAGATACTTGGACCCGTCCTCCTGGTGCTTTCCTTAAAAATTGGGCCCAACCTGGGGAAAATCATTTTGTTACTTATACTCAAGTTTCACGTTCAACGTCAGACACAGTCTTCTACTCCTTGCCATGATAACATTCGTCGGCTTAATCTGGTTAGACAAGTAAGATTAGCAGCAGCAACAACAACAACATAACACCTTTTCAATGTAAAATTCCTCACAATTAACACTCTTTTTTTTAAATTACAGATGCAACTTAATTATAAGAATCTGCTGCACATCTTACTGCAATCATATTACTAGAATCGTTAATCGCTGCAACTTTCAAGAATTTTATTTAATTAATGATGATTATTGTTTAATCTTTTCAAAAGAAAAATGCCAAAGACTTTGATTCACACAGATTTAGCAACATCACGCGACATGTTATTGCAAAATATCCATCTTGGATCTGGTTAGAAAAGAATTAAGTTTAAAATAAGTATATTTCACAGCAGAATATTTGAATATTTATTTTGTTATCTAAATAATGATAGGAAATTTATACCAAATTTTAGGTTATTTACCAGAATTTCTTGCTTTCGCAAGACCCGAATTTTTTTTCCGATGAGGCTTTATCGGTATATTCATACAAATCGTGAATCATTCAACATTTTTAACATTTGTAAAGCATTATATCAGTATTTTATATACATTTGTTGAAGTAACTAATTAATCTGAAAGTAATATTTTATACGTTAAGCACTTATATGCAGTATGTTATTAGAAACAGATCCAAACAACGTTGAAATGAAATATGACAAAATATGAAATACCCACACACTCTGTCCTACACACTCTAAGTGAAACCCACACTCTCTTATAATCACTGAGAATAGTAAAACTTTCTCTAGTTTTCAATAAAATATAATCTTATAACGTAATGTTTTAAACTTGAGAAAGAAATCGTTTCCTGTTTGCAGTGTAAAGTAAACAAAAGGAAAAATGTATGCTCTTGTCATTATTTATTAAATCTTAGGAAATAATATTAAGCTAATGTTTTTTATAAATTTTCTTTATATTTCTAAATTAACCCGTGAAAATTCTTTGAAATACTCACTTTTTTTCAGTGAAGGCATACAGATCTGCCTTAACAGGAAAAATCCAAGAGCCTTACCATTCCGAATATTCAACTTGAGACATTATATTACCGAAAAACAAAACTATTTTTCCCTATTTACAATCAGGTAAACATTTACAGATTTACAATCTGGTACGTATTTAGAAATCAATCGTTTTAATTTCGCAGCAAGCTTTGAAATATTTTCACTGATGCAATCATGAATATATTTTCCTGAGTTGAATTTTATGCTTCTATTGCAGACATTTCCACAATTTTCGTAGCCATATATCGTAAACGTCCTCTATATTTTACTATTTTATCACATGTTACTGAGCAAAGTATTGACTACTTTCAGAGAAGTTCCCCTTAGTAATAAAACAGTACGCACTAGAAGAAAAACTGAAAAACGTACCTTCTGTGTAGAACATAGACTAGAAATACGAAGAATGTTTTGGGGGAAATTCCAATTATCGAAAAACTAACTACTGTTTGTAACACCTTATACATATTTTATACATTAAGTGCAGGTCTGATTGGATATTTTCAAGTTCTATTCTTTTCTAAAGAAAGGAAATGACAATCAGTATTTAAGTTACATTATTTACAATCGGTTAATTATATTTTCAAAGCATTACCAGAGACTTTTACACAGACAATAAAGAGGATCCCGAAGACTGGAATTATACGCAATGTATTTGATTTCCAAATATAACATTTTGGGGAGGTAAACACCTATAATTTTCTAATATAGCAAGAAGCATTGTTTTCATAATTTAGCCAGGGATACTTTTAATGAATAGTGATTAGACATATGCGTTCTAGTAAAAGGATTACAGTAGACCGAAATTTTCTTAGTTTGAAGCAAACACATAGGAGTATTTATTAATAAGCGCGTCCTATTAGGTTACGTTAGGTTATTTAAACATGACAAAGTCACGAGGGCTGTTAGCTTAAGACAATGGATGGCTTCGTGGAGAATTTTCCGAGGAAAACTGGCTCGTACTCACGTTACACATGGATAAAAACTATGAAAGCTAACTCTGCAGACAGCCTGTTCGCCTGGAAACGAAGCCGCACCAGGTCTAACTACCAATATTTATTTGTCTTAACCACGCAGTCACTGATGGGGGCTGATGAATGTATCCAAAACTACACGCTGTATATGGAAATAAGCTTGAAGTTAAGTAAAAACTGAAATTGATTGCATTAATGGAATATTTGTTTCATTACGCGTTGCATTAGTTAAAAAATTTCCAAAATATTTTTAAGCCTGCCTTGACATTTTTAACTATCCTCGTAATTTTCAGCATCTTTAAAGAGGTTCAGAAAGCGAATTGTCCTAAATTTTAAAACGAATGTATCCCCGTACTGTTTGGTTTCATGTTACTGATTTGCTCGTGGCTTTTGGCTGCATGGATTTTGATTGATGAAGCAATACCAGTAAAGAAATTCAAGAAAAGGAGCATATCCAGTGCTCATGATGGTTCTAAACATCTTTGAATGCGGCAAGACAAACGGAATGGTAAAGAAGGCGATGAAACTGTGAAATTGCAAGCTATAGCAGAGGACACAGACAGCAATAAATGATTTGAGGTTTACGGAATAGCAGTGGACAACAATAAGAGCGACTGAGGTAGAGGAATAGGGAAGCGGAAATGAATATATCTTATTGGGCATTGTAATGATATTACTATGTATTGTAAATAAGTCTTACTATGGTAGTTAATGCTAGATTATCCATTATCATATTCTTTCATGTTCTTACTGTAATCAAGTCCTTTGGAAATTAAATTATTCGCATAATTTTTCCTATATTTTTAAATAAAAAAAAGGGGAGGAATATGCCATTAAATACCGTAAAGTTTCTACCATTACACTTTTATTATACATTCAAATGGTAGTATTATTAAAATTAGAGAAACGTTAAAAACGTTAGTGTATAGATTTTTCTATTTTTAGAAAAATGCAATATCCAAGTACCTCTCTTCGACACAGAAATGAATGAGACTGAAATAAAAATATAAAAATGGGTTGTATCAACATAAAGAACATTAAATACGAGAGAAAATTTCAAATAATTTTTTGTTAGTGGTTCGGATCTAGGGTGTACAAAAGATAGTCAATATTTATTTCTGAAAGCAGGAATTGCATTTCGATTTGTTTACTTTAAATAAGGATTCCTTTAAAGCGGAAAAGACGCAAACAAATACATTTTAAAGAACAGGAAACAATTGTATTTATTCCATTGCCTTTTCATTGAGCGCATGCCTTTCCCTATAAACGCTCGACATCTTAGCTCTAGGGCGAATTCCAAGCTCTTTTTATAAGTAATTCTTGAAATTTCTACTTTCAGAAAGGTTTATTCTCATTTCTTACATTCTCTTCAAAAACTTAAATTTATTTTAAAACATAAATAAAATTTCTCCGATTTCAATTCTTTTCAATAACGTACAGTTGATTGAAGAAGAGAATGAAATAAAAGTCCTAGGGAAAAATTTCGTACATATCTTTAGAGGAAAAATGAAATAAAAATGTCTTCTTTGAAACACTTCATTTGATATATATTCATATTTAATGGAAATACCTTAGGCAACTTTGGATTCAGAAAAAACAATGTACCTCACAGACTAATTTTTAAGTATATTTCACTGTCAATTAGTTAGCTAGATCAATTGTTTTCTCCAATTTATTTCAGATGATATAGATAAACGGTCTTTAAGTTTTCTTTTTTCCCAGACATAAAAGGCGTGAATGTTTAAACAAATTAAATTATACATTGACAAGTTCTTTAATTCTCGTCCTCATTAACGCATAAAAATCGGGGACATTATTTTCATCTTGAATTTCGTTATCTGATAATGAAATCTAGGAATTAATTTGTGAAGGTTTTGCTCTAGATCTAAAAATACTAAGATAGATCCAAAAATAAGCTCAAAGCAGCAATAAAATTTTCAAATCACAATGCTAACGTGTATCACAGAATTTTTTATGCTTTCCAGTGTACGGTGTAAGTAAGCGAGGAAATTCACCAGTCTAGGATATACAGCATCAGGAAACAAAAGCAATTAAACACGTGGAAGTATGTGAAAAGGAAAGAAATTTACTGAAGTTGTGAAGTATTTTCTCCGTCCTTGCAGCGTGCTTTCGTGGCGAAATTAGACAGCACATCTAGCTGGCACTCGAGACATCGGGAGTTCTAATCTCAGAGAATGCATCGCTCATTTCTTCACTTTCCTAGCTTGTAAAAATTGTAAGGGCTCTACGAATGAAATCCGAAACAAAAGATAATAAGCGATAATTCGTCACTACCAGGATTGGACGAGTGGGTCTTCAGCTTCCAAGTCGCCCTTTACGTGGGGAAGAAGGTAAAGTATTTTCTGCACCCTTACTTCATGTTTTTGTAGGTGTACTTGGCAAGCACGATCGGCTAGCAGTCGGAAGATACGAACTTGAAATACCGGCTAGGGCTTCTCTTATAGTTACGGCATTCTAACTTCTAAAAACTCTAAAAACTTGTCATAGTCAGAAACTAAGAGCCACCAATTATAACATCACTGTGCTGTGAACAATTGTATTTCGCTTCAGCGGGTTCAAAAGCAGATCTATCAAGTGACTCTGTGATTCTATGTTGGCTAGCAGGTCTCTGCCCGCAATGATATAAAAGGAATGGCGCACAAGCGATCACAAGAGTTGAATTTTGCGACATGTAATACTCTAATGCTCATACTGTTGTATTAAGCACTGTTTGTATTATACTTAACAAACGCTGAAAACCTTTCTGGTTTGTGCGAAACTAATTGTTTTAAAGCTTTTAAGATTAAAATTTGGTTCTTTTATTTATAATTACTGTTTAAGAATCACTAGTTGCCTTTTAATGTATAAAATATATTCATACAGATAAAGGAAGAAAGGGTGTGACCAGGAAAACGCATGAAAAAAAAATCCTTTTGCAAAGAACTTACTCTGAAATTCTCGCTCATAAAGCAATATATGATGGGATTGGCAAAGCTGTTGGCCATTGATATCCAGTGGCAAGAAAAGAAAGCAGCCGTGAAGTTCATGAAGTCCGAATCTGACTGAGGCATAACAAGGGAGCGATCGAAATAGATCAACAAATTGAATATGTGGATTGGGAGCCAACATACGGCAAAGAGTATCACCACTGTTGCCATCATTTTCACCACCTAAAACAAAAGAGTGTTTTGTTAGTTTTACAAGATTAATTTCTCTGGATATTAGTTTTCTCATAATAGTATAATGTACATAGTTTAAGAGTACATAAATTTACTCATATTAATACCTAGAAATTATTAATAAAATTAAGAATCGCACATAATGTCAGTGCACAGGGGCTTTTAAATAGTAAGTCATATTAAATAGCAACTCATATATCAACTAGCATGATTTGACAGAAGCTTTTTAATGCATAAAATTACAAAGGAGATGAAATTGAGCAATACAGGGTGTCTCAAAAGGAGATACCAAACAGAAACTAGATTCTGGTCTGTCATAGTGCGAACGGCGACCGCTACAGGGCAATGTTCGCAGGCTTATGGAAGAGTGGGAAGTGGGATCATTTCAGGCAAGGATGTCGCAGGAGAAAGATGAATCGCTTTACTAACTCAGTACTTTATGGACTTGTGTGGAAAGAGTGTTACCAATCTCGTGGTTGATGTTCCAGCAGCTACATGCCGAACACATCTGGTTTCAGCATGATGGAGCGCCTGCACATTTTAGCAGCGCTGTGCGGGAACACCTCAACAGGACATATCCTGATAGCTGGATTGGCAGAAGGTGGACCAGTCGCATGGCCACCGGGATTCTCCGACATGACTCCCTTGGATTTCTACCTGTGGGGATACATGAAATCCATAGTGTACGAGATGACAGGAATATTGAACATGGATCTCGTCGCCAGGATCGCGAAGCAGCGGCATGTGTCCGTGGCACACCTGCTCATTTTGAAAGTGTTCGTGAATCCATGAGTCGACGCTGTGAAGCATGCATTATTGCGAATGGAAGTAATTTTGAACAACTTGTGTGATTTAACCATGTTCTTTAATAAAAGTTGTATTGATTGATACTGATACCTCTTTCGACATCCTTTGTTTCTTTCCCTCTACGTTTGTGAACACTGCCCTCTAGTAGTCGCCGTTCGCATTTTCGGACACGAGTTCCTTCGTAAATCTTATTTGTCAGGGTATAACCGACCAGCACGTTAAGTTTGACAATGCTGTTTTCAGACATCCTGTAGAACCTAAACAACTTTCAACTCCAAAAATCTCTTATCAGTCTAAATTTTCACAAACTAAGCGATCACATGTAAGTCATCATTTAAGCAATATTATGCATTATGATTATAATATATCTAATGTGTCAACACAAACTATATAGCAGCTTCAAAGTTTCCACAAATTTCATCCACTATCTTCAGGAGCACAAAAACAATTCGCGTATTTACATTTGTTCTCAATTACTTCGAAAGTTTAATTTCATTTGCACGGTAATGAAATTAGCATGATTATAATTATAGGCTTATAAGCAAAGAAATTTACCAACATAGATTTCGAAATTCAAATATTAATACCAGGACAAAGCATTTTATATTAATACTTCCAAATTACATTTTTGATCAATTTTTCACTTCTAAATTGTTCGGACAGTATTCAATTACACAGCATTTAATCGAGTTCTTTCCTTTTCTCCGCGAATGAGGCTGTTAGGACCACATGAAAAGTGTGTTTAATGGCTAGTTATACCATATCAACCATTCTAGTTTACTTTTATAGAGACTGTCATAGTTTACAATGTCTTTTGCTGCCATCTTGTCCACTTTTGTTGAGCAGCTGCTAGTCCCAAACGGTTGTATATGCGTAGTATGCAGACGCGAACGTATAAGATGATACCTTTAGATCGATACAAAGAGAAATACAAATAAGTAAAAAAACAGCATGGAGCACGAAGTTCTATTAAGTGTCGATAACACTGCTGTGCTTGTACAAAGTATACGAGATTATTAAGCTTAATTTATTCATTATTAATCTTAATTAATTCAAAATATATGAAATTATTAAGCTGATGAACAGTGCTTATCTAGTAATAGAACAACTATTATGCAAGAAATGGGTAAAATAAATTAATTTTTAAATCATTGTCCCAGGGATTCATGTGTTATGGTCAGTTAAACACGAATACATGCAAAACTGTCGAGTTAAACCTGACATACATCTTATCCCAAACATATATTTTAAAGGTGGCACACATAATAAGGGTTACTTACATCTTAATATTATACACAAGAGATGAGACAGAAACGTACGTACCTGGCGAGTTAGAATACGCATGAAACGTAGAATGAAGGTGACATTAATGTAAAGTAATGTATATAATAAAAGGTATACTTACATACAATGGCACTACTAATGGTAATACTGCTAAAATGACTAAGCAATTACATAGCTAAATGCGTATAAAATCTGAAATGATGATGCTAAGTATATTACATGTGTTAAACATAAAGTGAAAAGATTACCTTCAGGCATAGCAATATTGCGTTAAAGGTATATACATAATACCTTTAAATATAATATTTCGTTAAAGCTATATATTATGTATATATATATTATATATATAAGTACTTGGTATATTGCACTTAATACATTGCTCATTAAACTTGGATGCTGAATACATTTTAATACACTATGTAAAGAGCTTATATATGATTCGTAATTGGAACGATGTCATGAGAGCTTGAACTGCAAATGCAGCTGCCCTCAGGTGCTGTCTAATTACTTGGTCCACTGGAAATTCCAAAAGCTACTTCATTGGAGATGTTTGTAAGTCTAAGCGAATACAGATGTTATTTGCCTCTATATTTGTTTTCAGCTAGTGGTTTGTGGAGATAATTTTTGGGAGTCACATGTCTTCTTACGACGAAGAAATTATTTCCCTTACATTTTCAATTCAGACTGGGCTATGGGATGGCTATGCTCATATTATGATCAAAGCCATCAACTATGATAATAAAATCAGTTCATTATAAAAAAAGGCAAAGACATTAGATTACAAAAACGTCAAAGACCCTCTTCATGCAGCCTGAGTAGTATCTTCAAAAAATGAAAGAAAAGATGAGCGCATGCAACGTCAAATTCGAAGACGATATTTGCTAAATTTTGTATGCAGTTGCTGACTCAAATAAATTATGTGCCTGTAATACAAAAACAACTAATAAGTTGTTTTTTGTGTTTCAAATAGCGCTTGAAATTAAGCAAAATTGTGGCATTCTCACATTACAGACAAATTTATTTTTATTTACATTTTTTTCCCTGGAACGCGTCCTGGAGAATAGTTGCAAAAATCGAAAACATATGGCATTGAGAAACATTTTATCTGAAGATTTTTAAGATATATTTCAGAATTTGCATTTCAGAATACTTTCTGCTCCATTTTGAATTGAAATCGAACTTACTATTGCAACATAGATAAAACAAATTGTTATTCCAATTAATTAATAAGCGCATACGAAAAATAGAGAAAATGTACTTGAACAAATTTCTGTAACTTAGTCGTGTATTATTTGTATTTCAAAACATGGCTACAGTACAAGCCGTCTTGAAATAATAAATTGACTTTCAGATTTCTTTGAATTATGATCCCAGATTTACAAAACTAAATTTCCTTCGCTTATGCAAATTTTTTTATATTATGGTAGAGTATATTGACAGTAAGAAAATGCATCTTTTCCTTTTTATCTATTCATTTATTACTCTGTGTTTTCCTTCTCGAAAATTCTATTACCTGAAAATTTGAGAAACATCATTTTGATATTTCGAAGAAATAGGAAATAATATGCAGCACAAAATATCATTATTACACGCTTTTATTTTAGTTCACTCCACAGTGTTTATCCGGTCATAAGTTTGTCATGGATTTTTACACTACTTGTTGATAAACTACCGAGTTCAAAATATGTGCGCACAGTTTGTGGATCACAATAAAATGTGGAGATGTGATGTTCCCAAAATTATATATATGTATTTTTTAATTTACTGCAATCTGAAAAAAATAAGTCTTCACATTTCCGAATAAGAATACTTCTTTAAAATATCTTGACGAAATAATATAAAACAAATTTATGATAGCTTGCAAATTTAAGCTTCATTACACTCTGATATTTTCACTTAACATAGAAAAAATTACATGTAGTATTTATTCTGTTTCGATTTCATTACATAGAATTTCCCTTGGGAAAAAAGCAGGTATTTAAGCATGCTTCTTATTTCGCAGTAGAAAAATACGGACCACTTTCATCAAATGTTTTAGCTAAGCGGAAGCTTCTTTCACGTAAACCAGAGGAAAGAAACCTGTCAGATTTATGAATATGTGCTATTTTTTACGAAGTATATAAAAAAGAAAATATTCATCACATTCGTCACAAATGGGGAAAAAGCTAAATAAGCAAATGATGAATTTTTGTTAAGAAAAGATTAATGCCGTTTGGCATAATAAATAAATAAAAGTAAAAATGTCAAAAGAAACTTAGTTCTAACAAGAAATAATTGCTTTTTTTATGAGAGTAATTATTTTTGCTGAAACATCGTCTTGCATTAATTTACTCATTTAGGATATGTGACACTATCTGCATGCTAAATTGCTGTCGTAAATATGCACAATTTTTCATGTTGTTTGACTTAGGATTTCATTTTTGCTGATTCAGAAACACGGACTGTAAATTAGTTGTTCAATTTGAGGTATGTTACCTAACGCTCATGAAAGTACTTTTTTTAATTTTTAGCCGGAAATAAAATTTTAAAAACTAAATTTTCTGCTTAAAAATGGAATTTGTTCCCTTCGAAAAGAAAAATAGAAAAAGGAAATTTATTAACTATATGAACTTAAGCAAATATATGTAAAATTACTGTGTAATTTTAAGATGAAACCACACATAAATTAAAACGCTGTCATTAATTTTCATTTTAGCACTGAAGAAAAAATAAAATTGACTCTAAAAAAATAAATCAGTGAAATGAGAAGATATACTTAACGAGTTTTTATTGCAATAGAATTCGATTTAAAACTGTAATACTAATTTTTAATTAGAAAATAAATTATTACACATATGTTTGTGAATTAATATCAGAAACCGATTCTTACTTGTAATTCAGAAGACATTTTTAAATAGTCAGTTTCTTTCTTATCCTGCTATTAAATTATCTGTTGACTAATGAAGAAGAATAAAGATGTTAAAATTAAAAAAAAAATTGTATTGGTTTTGTGGGATTAGCTTCCAAGCTGTTGATTTTTGATTATCATGAAAACTTTGTTGCAAACGCCTTCTTTATTTTTTCACCTTTCGCAGTTTCATTATCTAGTCAACAATCCAGATACGTATATCTTCCTGAAATGATCCTTAAATTACTTGTTGACTTGAGATGAAATTTCTGGATAAGAACAGGCAGCTGAGTGACATATGAAAAGCGAAAACGAATTCGGAGATGGGGTTAGTTAAATTTTAAGGTATTACCTTTAATCTGTTCGAGAGGAAGGTTTTTAGAGACTTTTACTTTCTAAGAGGAAAAGATGTGCTTTAGAACTGAAGAAATACAATTATAAGGGCCTTCCTAGAGTGCCTTCGTGGTGTAGTGGTTCTGCACGCTGGGCTGGTACTCCAGAGGTCCTTTGGTTCGATTCCTGGCGAAGGCGGTTGCTAATTTTTCATCTCTCCGAGCTTTTCTAATTAACCTAATGGCTCTACAGTGGCGCCCGAACTAAAAGGGTGTTGTATGAGTATTCTCCACACCCAGGATTTGAATTGTGTCCCCTAAAAAAGCCCAGTCGCCCTTTAAAAGGAGGAGTATATAAGGTATTTCTCCCGCCTTTCTAGCGTGCCTTCGTGGTGTAGTGGTTCTGCACGCTGGGCCGGTATTCCAGAGGTCCCTGTTTTGATTCCCGGCTAAGGCGGTTGCTAATTTTTCATCTCTCCGGCTTTTCTAATTAACCTAATGACTCTACACAATTATTAAATTTACTCAATTTATTTCCAAATGAAATTGAATACTTTTAAACATATAAAACAAAATTGCTTCTCTACAACCATTTAAAAATGTTTAATTACATTTTTTCAAATCATTTCATCATTGGAATCATTGCAACACGGTCTTAGGTTTTATAGTAAATTCATATTTATAACCTTCTGCCATGCAGAAAACTTAGATTTGTATTCAGATGATTACTCCAAACTTCTATGCAAATATAAAGAACAAAAATTTTGAAGCTTTCTTTTTAAAAGATAATATTAAAACGAAGATAAAAGTTAACTATTGTACTTGTTCTGTAAATTTAAATTAAATCGAAAATTACTACACAAAAATGACAGAGATTCAATTAATTTGAGGCCGGACCATTCGAATATTCGAAATATGAGTACAGCTGAATTTTACTTGCATTAGCAAAATATGTAAGCATTGGAAAAAGATTGACTTTTATTTTTTCCCATTCACCATGATTTCTTTGAACAAAGATTTCATAATTTAAAACCATACTTTAATTTTCACAAGTATGCAAAACTCTTTTTGAAAAAATATATTAAAAATTTTATTTTATTTACCTAAACACAAAAAAGCATTTGACTTGCTCTAAAATAAAGCAATAAAATTAATTTTTTAAAGTACAAATCTCTATAAGTTAACAAATGTCTGTACCTGTTGCTTTATGAAATTGTGCTAAGACATGAAAAGGACTTATATTCAGCCACCCAGCTGATTTAGACCAACTACGACTGTGCAATGATTTTCCGTCATAATTTGCCAAATAGTCTCGTTAAGAAGAACCGCCGAATTATGTTTACTCTGAAAACACTTGTTTAATGCTGATATATGATTATTATAACTGATATAATCCTGAATAATTTTTATAACATATAATTGATAGATATAAAATCATATATAAATAAATTTTACATGACCAAAACTGAATTATTTTTTGGTAGTGTTGAGCGATTTTAGTGATTTTACTTTCATTTTTGGAAGCTTAAAATTATTTTTATAACAGTAAAAAAAAAGGCTCAACAGCTAAGTGTAAAGTAATTACCGCAATTAAAGTCAAATTATCAAGAAAAATTTCACAATTTCATGTTATGGGAGAACTTTCTTACTTTCATCTTGGCCATGAGCTGCTGATGATCACGAGAAGCATCGGCATTGCCAGGAGACGTATGTCTCCACATCTTCCACCCAATGCTACTATACGTGAAAGTAAGAACTAACATGGGCAGGACGAAGGTGATAACGAACACCAGGGCTGTGTAAACCTGGAAAATATAAAAATACAATTCAGTACTGATATTTATTCGTATCAAATACTTTTAATTTAGGTTAATGTTGCTGTAAAGTAGACGATTTCTGCATGCCTTACAGATGTGCTCGGGACGAATTAATACTGAATGAACATACCCCCGTGCAAGAATGGTCTTTGAAGTTGTAATGTACAGCAGTTAAAAAGCACAGAAGTGATAATTAAAAACTACAAAAATGAACAATGTTTTAGTGAAGCAAGTTTGTTTCGTGAATTTTCAAAATTTGAAATTTCTATTTTGGAAGTCCTAAAACTTTCGATTCTTAAAATGAATATATACAGCAATAAATTAAATAAATATAAAGCAAAAAATCTACATACTGTTTTAGGTAAGGGAAAAATTCAAAATCCTCTTAATCTGTCGTCTAGAGAGACTTTTGGCGCCAGCAAAATCCTCACATAATAACTTTCAGTAATTATTTATATGCCTTCAGTGTCGTTTTTTTTTATTGTCGTGTCTATATTGCCAGAGCCTACAAAGAGAGGTTGGACTTCTATTTTCCAACCAATTTTGAGGGAGAACACGTTGGGGGTTGGCCCGGGTGTCTTTCAACCCCCCTACAACCAAACCACATAAGTTCACTTTCGGCTCGCCGCAGATTTAGAGTGCCCTCATGAAGCACAGATACTATACATTTACAAACATCGATGTCTTCTCCGGGATTCGAACCCGGGTCCTTCGGTACCGCAGTACACTCTCTAACTACTATACCGTCTAGGCAAAATCAGTGATGTGTCATAATAGAAGTTCGCATAGATTCATATTAAATGCATTTTAGCTCTATATGCATTAAGTAATACACGACCTTAACAAACGCACCAACACCAGCTATCACATGGATTCGCGCCATAGGTGCAGTGTACTACCGCAAAGTCACTCTAAATCATTCTACTGCGAAATCAGTATTTTTTCCGTTTGATAGCAGAACCAGTAACCATCGGCCAGGAGTAATCCTTAAACACAGAGGTGAGGTCTGTATGACCGCGCCAACATTTTAGAACTGCGAAACTGCTTATAAGCTATATAGTTATTCTTTTCCTTTTTAGTACTTTCAAGTTGACATAAAAATAACTGTTTCTAAATTTTTATTAAACTCTCTCCATTAGTTATTTTTAAAATATTTTTTAAATTTGAGCCGCCGTCATGTAAACCTCACCTCTGCGCTTATGTTTCTTTCTTCTCGCATGAGGAAAAGATGGCTTTATTACTACTTGAGTGTCGAACTTGTACAAGAAATTTACTCTAGAGGTTTGACATATGTCGGTACTATGAAAAAAAAATAAGAGAGAAATACCAGGTGAATTTTTTCCAAATAAATTGAAAATTAAAGAATCTTCTCTTTATGCATTCACAGATAGAATGACTCTCGTTTCATACGTGCCTCAAAAATTAAAAAGTGTTATTCTCATTTATTCAATGCATCATTCGAAATCAGAAAAACCTTGAAAGTGGGAAACCAGATATAACCATAATAGCATTTTACAATTTGACTAAAGGAGGTGTAAATGCACTGAATGAAAAATGTACTAAAATTCTACAAGTTGAAAAACAAGGCGATGGCCAATGGCTATATTCTTTAAGCTACTTGATGTAAGTGGAATTAATGCACATGTAATACATCAACCGTTAAGAGATAGTTCCAAAATTAGAAAAAAAGTGATTTTTTGATGGAGTTATCATGAGAATTAGTGAAATCACATATGGAACGGAGACTTCAAAAGCCAACTGGGAACCGAGAAATAAAACTGTGCATTCAGAGAGTACTAGGAGTACCCAAGGAATCTATTCTAGCGCAGATGTAACTGATACTCTTACAAAGCGTAAAACATGCTTTTTTTATCCACCTAGACTGACAGAAAAAACTGCCTATCTGTTTCAGCTGCAATCCGATATGCAATGAATGTGCCAAGAGAATTTCCAAAAATTGTCTTGAAAATGCTTAAAATATATTGCTGCAGTTTTTTAATATTCTTTATATATTATACTTTTTTGTATTATTTTATATAATCCAGATTCTGTAGATGGAAAATTTTCTAAATAATTTAGTTTGTACGCATTTGCAAACATGTAGTGTTTATTTTACTTATTTGATTAAGTGTTTCATACTTTTCGTATGTGATTTAAAAATAAAAATAAATTTTTAATGCATTAATTTTGGTGTTTTAAAAAGAATTAATTACTTCAATATAACAAGGAAAGTGTATTAATGCTTATATACTAACAATAGTACATTATTTTAAAATTTTATGTTTTAAAATGCATAAAATAGAGCGTGGTCTGAGAGACCCCTCCTCTGTGCTTACGTAACAGAAAATGAAAGTCTGTACTCAAGGGTTAAGAAATATATGACTCTTTTGACCTGAATCCTAAATTATTACATTTTCTAGATTTTGCATTTTTAAATCCTCAGCAATCTTTAATGAATTCTTGAAAACGATATTCAGCCATATTGTAAATTACCGTATTTATTCGCGTACATTTTACCGCATAAGAAACCGAGAGGGAAAAAAATACGTCGTATGAACTATTTCTGAAGTGAGGGCTTAAGTAATAAACATAACATTAAAAAGCGCATATAAAGACATGCTAATATCACTATATTATGTTTTCAAAAGGACTATAAGTCAATAGTTTTTTACTTACACAGAATACTTTCCTATTTCTGCATTTAGTTTACATTGTTACCAGAAACTAGAAATTCCTATATCATATGTTAAAAAGAAACTAGAAAGAAAATTACGTTGATAAAAATATGCGAGGAAATACGGTGTATGAAGTCAAGAGAATGTGTTAGCGTTAAAAACAGTGCTTTCTTTGAGGATTGATTGTAGAATCTCCAGTTTGCTAGAACGATGTGCTATAATGTAAAATTATATCACTATATAGGACTTCATTTCTTACATTTTGTTAATATAAATTACTCTTTGGAGGAAGGATAACTCTGAAAAATTCGTGGTTAATGTTTTACACCCAAAAATATTAGCAACAATGATTTTTATGGCCCTAAGTTTCATGTTATGTAGAGAAATTATCTGATAGCGTTATAAAAATTAGGTGAATGATTTTATGATTTATGGAAATCTTAATTTTTATTTGATTATGAATTATTTATTTTAAGGCTTTAATTTTGGGGAAAAACAGATGCTTCTGGGAATATTATTTAGTTTAAAAGAGTATTATTTATTTTCCTCTATTTGTAAATCTTGTACAAACTTTTATTCATTGTGAAAGAAGCAGGGAAAGGGAGGCAATTTTTTGTCAAGTCATGATTTCGCGCGCTTTGTCCTTTGGAATGTTCGAGAAAGAATTTTCATTGTTAGTTGACCTTAAGAGAGGAAAGTACGTGACAGAAAGGTCAAAGGTTGCTACTTGTCTTTCAATGTAAGTCATTCAGGTTTTTGGCGATTGAGGGTCCGGTTGTTGGCTAAGTGAAGAAGGGCGCGCATGCGCGATCACCCTTATTTCCGCATTCAGGGGTTGAAAACGAAGATTTTGCCATAATTAAGGGGGCGATAAGTGAAGCCATAGTGGGAGCCCGTTTTGTGAAGGAGACGAAGGAAATTCGAGTTGGATTCACTTTTTGGCTGACTCTGACTGACTCAATTTAACATTCATGTAAAATACTTTCTGTTTATTTTAAAATAGAATATATTTTTCATTCAAACCTTTATTTTCTCGTCCTTTATAAAAATATATTTTTATAGTGTGTTGCATATTTAATAGCAATTATCTGTTCTCCCAAGTCAACAGATTTCCTTGTTGAACAATTTATCTGCAGTAGAAATCTGGCTTCTAATTACCCGGACTCTTAGTTCCCAGAAATTTAGTTAGCTGGATTACTTTTCCTTCTTATAACGTCATACGTATAACTTTCTTCATGTATTTACATACTTCAAATTTTTTTGTTAATTTAAGAAATGCAAATAAATAAATAAACATAAGAGAATAAAACAAATATAAGAACATTCAGATTTTATATTAGGATCAAAAGGGCGGATTCTTCATTTACACACCCATACACATTTCGAGAATATTTGGGCTAAAAATATTTAAAAACTGTACATCTTTAGAATTTCCGATAGACAGTCTCGCACGCTGAAGATAAAAATGTTTTATTAAAGTGCTAACTTTTACTCACTGCTTGCTTTTAAATTGTTGAGTTTTTTTAATAAAAAATTCGTTAAAAGTTTATAAAATATGAAATAGATTATAAAACAAACTCCAAATTTCAAATTCAGGCTTCCAGGAGCCCATACTCAAGTGGAGGACTATGTTATCCAAAATCTTATTACTTTAGTTACCGTTGTTTTTTCACACCGCGAGAAATATACATTCATTAATGCAGATACTTCTTTATTTAGTTTATGAAATGTAATGTAGGGCGATAAAATTTGGTGGCAACAATTTGAAAAGTGATATATCGCATTTAAATGATTCAACTCAAAATGCCCTTTCGAGACTAACAGCCCTTCTAGGCTAAAAACCCTTTGGCCTAATAAATAAATAAAACAGTGATATATCATCTATCTGTTTATTGCTTAAGAGCTTTTAAATTAATTTTGAATTGCATGACATGCTTACTCAGTGTTATAAATATTTTATTGTAAAGTTCATAAACACGCCATGCACGTTTATCTCTAATTAAGTATCATTATGTATCACTTGCAAATACGTAAGCTTCGAATAACGCGTTAAGCTATATTGTTCGAAAAATATACAGCTTATGAACGCTTACAAGGAGCAGTTACACAGAATGCATATCCCTATGCTAAGGTGTTTTGTATTTAATTTGTGAGATATAAAAGTATTTTTTATAATTATATAGTTCTTGTCGACACATAAGACAATAAAAGAAAAAATAACACTCTGCGTTTTTCATTGCAATTACGGATTCTGAATCTAATTTAGTAATTTAGTTAAGCATCTTGTAATTAGCACTCAATCTAGTTTTTTGA